AGAAGAAGAAGAAGAAGAAGAAGAAGAAAGCTAGGTGGTTTCTGCGCTTACCTGGCGATGGCTGATCTTGCAGGTACCGCGGAGCCAGCTATGGCGCTGGGCAGGTAAGTCCTCTTCTCTCTCTCTCTCTCTCTCTCTCTCTCTCTCTCTCTCTCTCTCTCTCTCTCTCTCCACTACCCTCCTCGGCGCTAGACTCCTCCAGCGCTGCGCCTCATGGCCGATGAGCAGCGCAGCTGCAGTCTCAAAATAGCGCAACAGGGAGTCTCCAAAATAGCGCAGTAGCCAAGTTCCTTAACCAGCATAACGCTGGGTTTCTCCTGGTACCTTCTATCCACGAACAGGGCAACGGCCCAGCTTATGTAGCGCTGGGCCAAGACAAAAAACCCACGGCCTGCGTTCTGGGCCGTGCAGATCGAAATCCGATCCACGGTCCATATCGCAAGCTTTGAAACTGGTTCAGCCCTAGGCCTAAAACGGCCTACCTGGGTCCCTACCGGACGTCCACGCCCTGTCCAGGATTCAGTTTCCTGGTACCTGGCTTCGAACCGGTCCTGTGCGGACGTATCCGGCCTCAACGTCGGCCTGGGTCCGAACAGGTAGCAATCTGTTCGAAAACAAAAGAAAAGGTCCAAACGTTTTTTTTAGGAGCTCAACCTCTGGGCCTGAATCTGGCCCTGGTCCTAAAACGTGTACTTGGCCACAAAACGGACAACAGTCCAACCGTTAGAAAAACAGCAGCAAATAAATAAATAAAAGAATATAAAAATAATCTAAAGCTGGCGTTTTTATGATGAAGGCCTAAGTAAGAATGCCATAGGGCCTTCAGGTTGCGGTGACGCGACCTGGGGGCCCTATTCCAACCTCGGGTCCCGTGAGGGGCCCGTGTGTAGGCTTTCAGCATGTAACACGCCCCCCTCCTTATGAAGACGAGCCGGGGCACGGGCGAAGCTGCCGATCCGATGGCGGAATGTAGCGAGGAAGGCGAGGAGCTGGAGTGCTCGGCGTAGTCTTCCCTTTGCTAAGATAACGTGAGAGAACGACGGGAGTTGTGGCCTGCAGTTCCGAACGCGTCAGCCAACGGTCAGCCTTGTGCCTGCAGTATGAAAAGTGAAGTAGAAACTCTGTTTCTTTGTTGCCATGGCGCCGGTCGGTGATGATGTAGCCGGCCTCCTGAAATCCGTCCATGGAAGGAGGATCTTGCGTACGTCGACCGGGAAACTCGTCGGACTCCGCTGAGACGAAAGGAGCGAGTTTGGAACAGTGGAACAGTGTGTGGACGGGCACGTGAGGTGGCACCGCGATAATGAAGGCCCCTCGGGATCATCACCAACTGCAGAGAGAATGCGCCAAGGCCCCATCCACTTGGGAAGGAGCTTGCGAGAGATGTCTTGCTCGAGGCTGAACTCTGTGGCGGAGACCCAAAAGATCGTCGGCGCGGAATGGGCAAGGAAGGCGATTGCGGTTGGCTTGACGGCTCATCCGTATTTGCGTCTTTGACATCTGATCCCGTGCCTTGACAAGGAGCTCTTGCATGCGATGAAGGAACGCAAGATGGTCGTCGCTCTCGGCTGTGCGCGGCAAAGTGGCGTCCAGCGGCGAACCATGCTCAAACTCGAATGGCGACATCCCGATAGCCGGATGGATCGATGAGTTGTAAGCCAACTCAACGTCTGACAAGCGCTCAACCCAATCAACCTGGTCGGGACGGATGAGAGTGCGTAAAAGGACTTGAGCGGTCTGATGCGCCCTTTCCGTTTGACCATCGGTCTGCAGGTGGCGAGCCGAACTCGGCTTCAAAGATGAGCCCCATCGCTTGACGAGGGCGACCCAAAAGTCGGAGAGAAAGCGAGTGGCCCGGTCGCAAACGATCTCCTTGGGGTAGCCCTTGGAGCGAATCCAACCGGCGTATAAGACCTCGGCTAACTCCGGTGCCTTTGCGTGATAGCGGCAAGGCAAAAACATGGCATACTTGGTGAGGCGGTCGACGACCGTGAGGATCCCATCAACGCCGGTCTTGTGCTTCGGGAAGGGGCCGGCGATATCCATAGCAATTGCTTCCCGTCGCCCAAGGGGCACTGGTAATGGGTGTAGCTTGCCGAACGGATGATGGTTGCGTGACTTGCAACGCCGACAGACTTCGCACGACTCACAATAGCGGGTGGCGTCCTTGAGAAGGTCGGGCCAATAGAACCGCTGGCGAAGTCGGCCAAGTGTACGGTTGACACCAAAATGTCCGGAGGCGGGCGCATCGTGAAACTCGCCAAGAAGCCGTGTGCGCAAGTGTGAATCATTCGGCACACAAAGAAGATCCTTACCCCGTGAATGCACAAGTAAGTAGCCCTCTTGGATCCGATAATGCGAAGGCACCGGTTTCGGAGAGGAGCAATTCGCGTACTTGTCGCGAAAGTGGGGGTCGGCTTGATAGCCGCGGACGAAGCTCTCCCGCAAGTCGTCGTCGATCTCGAAGGTAGAGTAGACTACGGTGCAAAGATCCGGTCGCCGTGAGAGGGCGTCCGCAAAACGATTTGACTTCCCGGGAATGTGATCCGGGAAGAAGTCAAACTGGTCGATGAAGGTCATCCAACGGGCAATGGTACTGTTAATCGTGTCTTGCGACTTGTAGAATACCAACGGATTGTTATCCGTTACCCATCGGAATGCTTCCCGACCAAGGAGGAAATGTCGCCAACGCTTGAGGGCGTGGACAAAGGCAAGAAGCTCCTTCTTCCGTGCGTCGTCGATCGAATGCACGGGAGGTACTTTCTTGCTAAAGTACTCGACCGGGTGCCAGTCCGTGCCATCGTGCTGCTCAAGGACGGCCCCAATGCCATAGCCCGACGCATCGGTAGTGACGCGTGTAGCTAGAAGCGGGTCGTAAATATGTAACACCTCGGCAGATAAGAGTGCCGCTTTGAGTATTTCTAAAGAATGATGCACATCGTCATCGAAGTCAAAAGGCCGCTCCTCGCTTTGTAACTTGCTTAGGTTGGCCGCGATCTTCGAGTAACTCTTAATGAAACGCTGATAATAACCGGCCAAGCCGAGGAAGGATCGGACGTCCGTCACATTCTTCGACTCGGGCCACTCCTAGATGACTTGAATCTTGTCCGCCAACGGACGAATGCCTTCCGGAGAGACAAAATGACCCAAGTATTCAAGCTCTTGTCGGACAAACTCGCATTTGTTGCGGTTAGCTTTGTACCGTGCTGACCGAAGAGTCTCTAGAACACGGCGAAGGTGCTCGAGATGCTCCTCGAGAGTTCGGCTATAGACAAGGATGTCGTCTAAGCAGACCAAGACGAAGCGGTCCAACATAGCGCGAAACTCGGTGGTCATGGCCGCCTGAAAGGTGGCCGGGGCATTGGTGAGGCCAAAAGGCATAACTACCCACTCAAAATGCCCACATCGCGTCTTAAACGCGGTTTTGTACTGATCTTGCGGGCGGATGGAAATCTGATGGTAGCCCGACTTGAGGTCCAACTTGGAAAAGTACTTGGCGCCGCCCAACCGCTCAAGCAAATCGTCAATGCGAGGTAGAGGCCCCGCGTTCTTGATGGTTTGCACGTTGAGGCGTCGGTAGTCAATGCAAAGTCGAAGGTCCTTGTTCTTCTTCCGAACGAAGAGAACGGGGGCACCGTAAGGTGAGCTGCTAGGGCGGATCCAACCCTTGTCAAGTAGATCGTCGAGTTGCGCACGGAGAACCGTGAGCTCCTCCTCGGACATGCGATAAATGCATCCTTTCGGTGGCACGGCGCCGGCCTCAAGTATGATCTCGTGAGAGATTGGCCGGTCTGGCACTATACCAGAGGGTGTCTAAAAAACATCCGAGAACTCGTCTAACAACCGGGTCACACGAGGGTCGGAAGACACATCCGTGAACGATGAATCAGACGTCGGGACGGTTCGAAGAAAAGCGATGCCAATCTCTTCCACATGCTCGGAACGGCATGTGTCTCGAAAAGATTTGGCACTCACGACTTGGCACCGAATGGACTAGAAAGTCAGGGCATCCCCAAAATGACATCGAAGTCGGTGTCCAACACGTCAAAAGTGACGGGCTCACCGGGCCAAAGTACACCGGGACAGCCGAGATGTAACGGTCCAAAAGCTGTTTCGTCTTACCATCGGCAAGAGCGACCGTCGTTGGATGTGACTTCCTCCGTACTTGTGCGCCAAGACCAGCCCGAGTCATGAAGGACTGGTTGATGAATTTGCGACTTGCGCCGCAATCTAGCAAAGCGTTGCAGGCCGCTTGCCCAATCTGAATGCGAACGAAGAGCAATGGTGCGTTGTTTTCTTCGTACCGTTGTGAGACAAACTCGTGGGCCACCTTGGCAACATAGCCAAGCATGTCCCCCACCGCGACTTCGTCTACCGTCGGCAAAGTTGGTGGTGCATGGAAGGAAAGATACTCGTGTAAGAGGGCGCATAGGGCTGCGCTTTGCGGCCCCGGAAGGTTGCCCGTCGTAGGGAGAGGAACCCAAGCGAAATCCTCGGGCGTGAGCGGGTCCAAAGCCTCCTCGTTGAACACGCTTGCCGAATCCCTTGTTGGAGACGAACTGGCGGAAGAACCTTCAGACGGTGAGAAAGCCGCACATGTATCTTGTCCTTGAGAAGCATCCAGTGAAGGAACGAGCCGGGCAGCGA